TTGCTGTAATATACTTAGTTGTTATTTTCTAATGCTAGTCTAAATCTGATGAAACCTGATCTATAATTTAGAACTACTTGCTGAATTTTGGTTACTCTATAATCTATTCCTAAAAATAGTGGAGCCCTAATTTATTTCATCACTTCTAATTGGCTGTACGAATAATTCACTTACCAAAGCCTATTAAATTTCATAATCAGGTATAATATAAAATAAACGTAAAAATATTAAAATCACTTATAACTCTAAATCAATATATAAAATAGTCTTCTGCACACTAATAAAAAATTTTCCTTGTAAAATTTTAGTATAAAAAAAGTTTTCTAATTATAGCAAAATACTAACTCTAATCTAGAGATGCAGTAGAATCATCCTAATAATAGTTGTTATATTGTGTCACATTACTGTAACTTGCTGTAACTATACGTAGCAAAGTAATATAGTAAGTTATGATTATAATGCTGTAATTAACTACACTATTTTACTATAGTTATAGCAATATGATACAATGTAATAACTATCATTAGGATGACTCTACTATGTGAATTTTTTTACTTGAAACTTTTTGAATAATTGTTACAGCTAATCAGAAGTGGCAGAAAAATTAGTGATCGATATAGAAAATCATCAAACTAACTATGTCGATCAATTACATAATTAAAGAATAAGCTATAATGCTGTAATGAGGTATTACAAAATAAGCTATAGAATAAGCTTACAGAATAAGCTATAGAATAAGCTTACAGAATAAGCTATAAAATAAGCTTTACAGAATAAGCTATAGAATAAGCTATAATAATGTATTACAGAATAAGCTATAGAATAAGCTATGATAATGTATTACTATGATGATATATTACTATAATAATGTTATGTATAAAAAAAGTTTAAGTCTAATGTTTAATGATATCACATACACATATACCCAAAAATAAGTAATACCATTATATAACTTATCATTGTATAGTTAAGTTAATTTATAATGTATATAAAATTAATCGTTCAATAGTTATAAATATAATATAAATACAGTATATCAAATACCTTTTTTTAAAAAGACAAGCATGGAATTTTTAAAAGAATTTTTTTATAAAGTTATTTTCTATGAAGAACCTAGAGATATTTTACTGAACATTGATATGAAAAAAAAAGACATTTGTATGATATGCAAAAGTGTTATTAATTCAAGTCTTAAAGACTCAGTTATAATTTTAAGCTGTAAACATTTTTACCATAAAGAATGCATTGGTGATATGTGTTTACTGTATTAAGAACAAACTAATAAAATTGAAAATGCATCGATTCATCATCAAGAAAGTAGCTGTTCCATTAACTCATTATTGAATTTAGAATGTGCTAACATTTCTACTTCATTTACTGAATTTACTAAACTCATGTTTACTGAATCCATTGAACCTACCAAACCTACATTTACTGAATCCACTGAACCCATATTTACTAAATTCACTGAACCCACATTTACTAAATCCACTGAATCAACCAAACTTATTGAATCTATTGAATCTACAGAATCTAATGGTATGCTTGTTAAATTTACTGAACTTACCACCTCTTTTATATCAGTTGAATATACTGAATCTATTGCTTCTGTAGATTCTACAGATTTTACTTCTGCACCTATTGAGTCAATTGAATATGCTGAGGCATCCAAGTCTACTAAATTTAAAACAACCAAATCAAAAGCAATATTTAAAAAAACACAAATAATTCAGTTATTAAAAGAACTAAACATGCCTGTTAGGAGGGAATGCAAAAATAATAGCAGTAACAATAATAATATTAACATTAATAACAATAATAATAAAAGTAATAATGTACTATTATTAATTCAACTTTATACAAAGATAATTCATACCGAAAGTGATGCAACTAAGGCAAATCAAATGGTAATTAGAAGTTGGTATGAATTTGCAGATGAGTTTGATAAACAGATTAATCAAACATTAAGGAATCAAAAAAAATCTAAACATAGAAGTTCTAAAAAATCAGCAACATCTGAAGTATAGTATTAATAATGTAACTATATAATTTTGATTTGATTAATTGCAAAATATCTAGTAATTAATTGCTTATATAAATTTATTATGTTTTAGTAAAGTTAATTTTAATTTTAAACCTTTAGATTTTTATATAATAAATTCTAAAACTTAATTCTCAATATTTTTTATAACATAAAAGATAAAATATATTAATAAAAAGTTAATTTATATCGAACTAATAGATTATATATATAGTGCCAGATGCTTATAATAGTGATGGACCACACATAGAGGTTGGAACTGATTTTATAATTTAGGTTTATCATATGAATTTTGTGATCTTTTGAAAATTTGTCTAATTAAATTTTAATAAATTTCAAAATATCACAAAATTTATATGATAAATCTGAATTATTAAAACCAGATTCAACCTCTAGCTATGCATATAGGACTAGCAATGCCAGTCTAAAAATTTCACTATTATGTAATCACATTAAAAAAAATTTTGCTAAAAAACATTTACTCTTAAGTTAGGTCACTAGTGAGTTAGTTGGATTCAAAGGACTATAGTTATACTAAAATTTTGTAAAAAAAAAACTTTTTTTATTAGTATGCAGAAGGCAGTTGCATAAGCAAAATGTTGAGTTATAAGCAATTTTTGACTTATTTTTGTTTTTCACATTACACCTAATTTCAAAATCTGATTGGCTAGAGAAATTTTTTAGACTGGTATTTTAAATACTGTTGGCCATGCACAGGATTTTTTTATATAAGATTATTTGGCCTGTATTAGCATTAGTGCTCCAATCATGTTGACCTGAATGACCTGAAACTAACCCAGTTATAATAAATTTATTAGATGGGTCATGACCCATATAGTAAATTCATTATAACTGGGTTGGTTTCAGGTCATTTGGGTCAATCTAATTGGAGCACTAGATGACAGAATTAATTTCATGAATGTCACTATTTATAGTTTCATTTTATAATGCATGGATATAAAGAATATTTATTAATCTAAATATTTAATATGTAAGCATAAAGAATATTTATTTAATTCTATTTATGACAA